TCTTAAAGGGACCGCGACAGCTTCCGCTCCTCAAAAAACGTTAACGTTAGATGTTGAGACGATAAAAATGTAAAATTATTCTTTTTAAGGATTTCTATTCAGTTTATTGCGCCATAAACACTCTTTAATCGCTTTTAGTTAATAATAGGTCACGTAGTTGGGAACTTCCGGAACCATCTTCAGCACTGTTGTTTCTAGACGAGCGGAAACAAAACGCCCACTCGTTAATTCAGAATTCACGGTTTCTAAACGTCGCGGTTGTTTTTATATTTTCACAAATGTAAATAGTGAATTCCAAATTAAAATGACTACAAAACGTAAAGTAGACATGATTGATCCTGCTGAGCCCACTCGTTAATTCAGAAAGCAATATTCACGGTTTCTAAAGGTCGCGGTTGTTTTTATATTTTCACAAATGTAAATAGTGAATTTCAAATTAAAATGGCTACAAAACGTAAAGTAGACATGATTGTTCCTGCTGAGGAAAGCGACCAGCTCTTAATCCGTCCTCTGTGAGTTCATAATTTATTTTATTTATATTCTGGATATATATCCTCATCAGATTTACGTGTCGTTGTGTTACAGAGGTGCTGGTCAGGAGGTTGGGAGGTCATGCATTATTCTGGAGTTCAAAGGAAGAAAAATTATGGTAATTATATTAGATGTTTTTGTTGGGCTACTCTGAATATGCAGGATATTGATTAAAATTAGTCTAATTAGATTTGGTTTGCGTTAATTGTGTTTCTTCATATTTGATTATTTTATTGGCCAATTAATATTTGTTACTTTTAATGGCTCTTAAATGGGTTTTAGTTCTTTAAGCTTAGTGAAGCTCAAGAGCTTTTAGAGGTTTTTAACAGACGAGGGACCAGAGTGCTGGTTTCCTCTTGGCTCCCAAACTTGTGTTTAAGTCAGTGGACTTTGTTTTATGAATGTTTGGGAGCGTTCGGATGTCTGTTTTAAACATAAACCCATGGCCATTGTATCACTGTTTTAAGTACTTTTAGATTTAGAGCTTTTAGTCATTTTAAAATCCTTTAATAAAATCATTGTTTACCTTTTAACACCTGAAACACATGCCTCTGTGTTACTCCCTGTCATTCTCCTTTTCCACCAATAGAGAACGTAACAATATTTCAGTGCAAGAAACCCGGAATATGTAAAAACATCTTGCGTGTATATATATATATATATATATATATATATATATATATATATATAATTTTTTTTAATTCTTTAAATGTGTTACTTTGTTTTTTGCTGCAAATACAATTTCTTTAACATTTAAACCCACTTTTTAATCGTACATTTTAATTGCTTTTATTGCCTTTTTCCATGTTCTTAATTCTTGTTTTGATTGATCAGATTTAAAGCCACGTGCATTGTCATTGTCAATAGCCTTTAAAGTAATATATAACCTTATATCCCAGTGATCCCTAAACATGTAATAAACCGTTAAAATAATAGAAGACAGGGTCATTTATTTGCCAAAAGGTACAGGGATGGGTAATGTGGTGACTATCAACCAGCAACTAACATTGATGACACAATATACAAAAATAGAAAAAAGTGGCATTTTAAAAAACAAGAATAAATAATTCGGTTTTACTTTAGTTACGGCAGCAGGTGAGGCGCAGGTTTCAGAAATGAAAATTTGCAACATTCTGCAAAATTGCACAAAAAATAACAGCAACTAGCTAGGTTCAATTTACAATTGTTACTCATATTAACAGCTTGCACAAAGTTACAAATAGCTGGATCATGCGATAGCATTAGGTTAAAAAGTCCAAGTTAAATTACTCTTTTCCAGCATGACTTTGCAGCGCCTCCTAGAGTTAAAATGATCAATCTTCTTGAAGAGGGACGTTAACAGCAGAATCGAAAATTGTGATCATCCCTTGAAAATATAGTTTTCCTTTTTGTTATAATGAGTAACATTAAAATGATTAATGTGTATTTGGCAGCTGGACTGTGGCATTCACCCTGGTTTGGAGGGAATGGATGCTCTCCCTTATATAGACCTCATAGATCCAGCTGAGATAGACCTGCTGCTCATCAGCCAGTGAGTCACACCTTTCCCCATTTTCTTGCTTTATTTTGCAGATGAGTAATTTCATATTGATGCTATTTCCTTGTCAGTTTCCACTTGGATCACTGTGGAGCTCTGCCCTGGTTCCTCCAGAAAACAAGCTTTAAAGGGCGGACCTTCATGACCCACGCAAGTAAGGCTATTTACCGCTGGCTGCTATCAGACTATGTCAAAGTCAGGTAAGAGCAGACTGGGTTTCCTGTTGAAATTTATTCCCATGCTGGATTAACTTTTAAAAATGTGCTTACAGCAACATATCTGCTGATGACATGCTGTACACTGAAACGGACCTGGAGGAGAGCATGGACAAGATCGAGACCATCAACTTTCACGAGGTTAAAGAGGTGGCTGGAATCAAGTTTTGGTGCTACCATGCTGGTCATGTCCTGGGAGCAGCTATGTTTATGATCGAAATAGCTGGAGTTAAAGTATGTTATTATCTTCATGACTTTTGAACTATTTTAGGTATAAATGACTTGGGACAATGTGTAAAAGTCAATGTTTTTCGCCCAAAAGCTGCTGTACACAGGAGACTTCTCCAGACAAGAGGACAGGCATCTAATGGCAGCCGAGATCCCAAGTGTCAAACCTGACATCTTAATCATAGTATGACAGAAATAACAATATGCATCGCTCACATTTAGTGAGATTTTTAGGTTATTACATATTTTATTTTCTCTCTTTGCAGGAGTCAACCTACGGGACTCATATCCATGAAAAGAGGGAGGAACGTGAAGCTCGATTCTGTAACACAGTTCATGACATTGTCAACAGGGAGGGTCGATGTCTGATTCCTGTGTTCGCTTTGGGGCGAGCCCAGGAATTGTTGCTTATCTTAGGTTAGAAATCAGCTCTGACTCCCATTTGACCTAAAACCTGTGAAAATGTTGGTTTTTCTCTTCCATCAGATATTCTTAGTAGTCAAACAAGCAAGGTCCACAGACTCAGTTCACTAAAGAGGATGGATGCAGAAGAATATGAAGAATTAATCTGCAAAAAATAGAAAAGCATTTTTTGATCTAAATCATCAAAATTCTTTTTGGCGTATGTCAGCAAATGAAGAATATACAAAAGTATCTGGTGCATACAAAGTACTATCTGGTGCACATTCATTACTGTGTGCACAAATTACTATCAAATTACCTCAAGTTACTATCCAATGCATACAAGTTACTATCTGGTGCACAAGTTACTATCTGGTGTGCACGAGTTACTATCTGGTGTACAAGTTACTATCTGGTGTACACGAGTTACTATCTGGTGTGCACGTGTTACTATCTGTCTGCACGTGTTACTAGTGTGCATGAGTAAAATCTGGTGTGCACGTGTTACTATCTGGAGTATTCAAGATACAGAGTCGCTGCAAGCCGAGAGGCAAGGTAGGCAACTGCTTGACCCCTAGGCCACAAGGGGGCCCCAGAAGGCCAACAACTTTGAAGGTAGAACTGCAGCAGTAGTGAGACCGTGAAAAGCTGTCATTTGACAGCACTGTTGGCTGTCTCACACTCCCTGACTGGGCCCTCTCCCCCACTGCACCCCTGACGAGTTACTATCTTATATGAAAAAGAAACCAATTTATTTATGATTATTAGATGTTTCCCCACTTCTACACCTTAATGTACGTCTCATATTCTAGATGAGTATTGGCAGAATCACCCAGAACTCCACGACATCCCCATTTATTATGCTTCATCTTTGGCTAAGAAGTGCATGGCTGTGTACCAGACGTACGTCAACGCAATGAACGACAAGATCCGCAAGGCCATCAACATCAACAACCCTTTTGTCTTCAAGCACATCAGCAATCTCAAGGTAGGCACTTCTGGCCAAGCCGGATCCTTACAAGCTGCTCACGATCTCATAACTGCATATTTTCCAAGAGCATGGACCACTTTGATGACATCGGCCCGAGTGTGGTGATGGCGTCTCCAGGTATGATGCAGAGCGGACTTTCCAGGGAGCTGTTTGAAAGCTGGTGCACCGATAAGAGGAACGGGGTCATCATCGCTGGATACTGTGTGGAGGGAACACTGGCTAAGGTCAGAATATATCAAAATGTTAATATGTGATCAAAAAACGAGATTATTTATTGAAACACAAATTGATGTTGAAATAATGAAATTATTGGTCCATTTTATTTGTGATTGTCAGCACATCATGTCTGAGCCAGAAGAGATCACCACAATGTCCGGACAGAAGCTGCAGCTGAAGATGTCGGTGGATTACATCTCCTTCTCTGCCCATACGGACTACCAGCAGACCAGCGAGTTCATCAGAGCTCTTAAACCGCCACACGTGGTAGGAGGAAGAACAGCTAAACAGGTGCGTTTGTAACAAAGTGTAAATTAGTTCAAACTGAGACGGCTTCTTGTGCTTAGATTCTGGTTCACGGGGAGCAGAATGAGATGGCCCGTCTGAAGGCCGCGTTGATCCGAGAGTACGAAGATAATGACCAGGTTCACATCGAAGTCCACAACCCTCGAAACACGGAGGCCGTCACTCTGAACTTCAGAGGAGAAAAGCTGGCCAAGGTCCGCCCCCTGCTGTCTTAGCTTTTATTATGATTTGTGTGTTTAGGTTGAACTAATTAATCATGTTCTCTCAGGTGATGGGCTCGCTGGCTGATAAGAAATGTGCTCAGGGTCAGAGGGTGTCAGGAATATTGGTGAAGAAGAACTTCAGCTACCACATCCTGAACCCATCTGATCTTTCAAGTAAGTCAAACTAGTGAGTTAATCAACTTTTGTGTGAAAATTACAGATCTGAGCTGCAAAATGTATAATTGACTTCTGTCCTCAGCTTACACGGAGCTTGCCATGAGCACCGTGAAGCAGACCCAGGCCATCCCGTTCACCGGGCCGTACTCGCTCCTCGTCTGCCATCTGAGGAACCTCACCGGTAACATTTCAGTACAACCCCGTCAAACATTTAAAGCACTACTCTTTAGTTAAATGTAAATGTGGATCTTCCATTCCAGGGGATGTGGAGGAACTGGAGGGAACCGAGAAGAACGTGTTGAAGATCTTTAAAAACATCACTCTGGTCCACGAGGTCGGCATGGTAATGCTGGAGGTGAGAGGCACTCATCAGCACCTTTGAACCTCTGTGTTGTCCTGAATTTATTATTTAAACTTTTTCACAGTTTTAAATTATTTTCTTGAGCCAGAATGTGCTAAAATGACCATTTACGGGATTAATGAAATGTCACTCAGACCCCCCACTGCCCTCTATGGCCAGAATACCGCATTTGCAACTTCAGAGTGCCGGTCCGGCACCTGTTAAATTTTGCTGGCACAGCAGTCTTTTCCAGCACATTTCCTGCATGTTTTAGATCAAGAGCACGGCAGATTTGTTTCATTTAGTGATGAACCGCACCTGTAGACACTAATGAAGGCTGGGGAAATTTTAGCAGTTAGATTAAAGAGTTAAAAAGAGAAACGCAGGAGAAGGCAAGTTTCACTTTTGCTTTGACCACATTTAATTAATAACGGACACTAGGGGGTGCTAAAAGCAAGCAAAACTGCCAAGAGTGCCCTTACAGTTCAGAGAGGTTGCACATCGAGTGGCTTTCTGTTTCAGTGGGTGGCTAACCCTCTTAACGACATGTATGCTGACGCCGTCACCACTGTGGTTCTGGAGGTCCAGTCAAACCCAAAAGCTCAAAAAGGTCAGTCAAATTACCTCTTTTTGCATTTCCAATGATATCTGTGAGTAGATGTGGACCAAACAGCTATTAGTTCTGCTGTTGATGACTAGGCCTTTAATCTGGGATCTGTTCTGTTTTGTTAACAGTGATGGAGACCCAGAGTGCCAACATGGACATGGAAGTCTTCCAAGCCCGGTTAGAAGTTATGCTGCAGTGAGTCCCGCATTTACTCTGTAATACATAATGTTCTTAAAGACCAAGTTCACTCAGAAACAGTTTTACTTGCTATTATTGAAATATGAGCAGGCTAAACAGGAAAATAGTCTTCTACCCGTTTTTCCTGCATTAGCCGTTGATAGAAAATAGACGGGAAACTCTCAGGTCGGAAAAGCCAGACAGATAAACGTCTCACTGTAAGTAAGCGTTCATGGACACACCCATCTTGGCTCACGACGAGGAAGGCTGTTGTTTATTTGGCATCCAGGAAACAACAGAGAATGTTTCGGCTAGTAGAAGCTAAACGTTAGCATTAGAAATTCCACAACATGGCAGAACTCCTCCAGGCTTGTGTTATTTGTGGAGATAAAGCATCAGCGTTGCAAAGAAAAAGTCAGGGGTAGAGTCGGAGGAGAGATATCTGAATATCAGGAAATAAGCCTCCAGATCCTGCCGAACTCTGCTCCCGTCTCCTCTGGCTGACGTATACTTCCTGAAACGGGAACACCAGAGCTTTTTTCCCCCACATTTATACTAGAAACCACTGCAGATGTGTTGAAAGGATGAGTTTGTTTGGTCGTTAGGAAAGAAAGGAACATTCACATGAATAAATGTTGTAATACTTGTTTTTGTGTCCTAACCTTGTTCACAGAGACATGTTTGGAGTAGAATGTGTGGACTTTAGTGGTGGTAAAAACATTTCGGTGACAGTCGATGAGAAAACGGTACACATCGCCATGGAAACGCGGGTGAGAATCTCTCAGCAAGGCCATGTCCTCCACGTGCTGCTGGATGCTGTAACTACCTTTACTGTCTGCAGTCGGTGTTCTTCGAGGACGAAAACACGGAGGACGACTCCCTGAGAGAGATGGTGGAACTGGCGGTGCAGCGGCTCTATGATGCTCTAAACCCCGTGATGTGAGGACCGGACTGGGGGCTTTTTTAGGAAAACAGATTTGCAGGTAGGAAAACTGCAACTACTGCTGCTCTATTTCCATGTTTTCCTATTTTGTCTTCTTATATTTATTTAGAAAATTATTATTATTATTATTATTTTGCTTTCCTCTTGATGCACTACTGCTAGGGGAAATTCCTGAGGCATTAATGAAGGTGTCTGAATGTGAAATTAATCAGCCCCAATTGCTACTGTAAGAGAAAAAAAAACCTTAAAAGGAGTTGTTTGTAGATATTAGTGAAGTTTTCATGTGTTTGTTTTTGTGTATTTAATATATGATAAATGACCCGCACTTGTAAAGCGCCGCTCAGAGAAAGGACTCCAAAGCGCTTTACACTACAGTGTATCATTCATCCATTCACACACTGATGGTGATGAGCTACAATGTAGCCACAGCTGCCCTGGGGCGCACTGACAGAGGCATACATGTGGTCACAATTTCTGTGCACTGATGGACAGATTTCTGCAAGTTTTTAAAAGCACTTAATGTTTTTTGTGTTTAATGTGAAAAATATATTATAAAGCTATAAATGAATGTTCAAAGGATCTGTAACAGTCAAATGTGGTATTATTAGCTTGTAATAACAAGACTATAGTATTATTCTTTGTGGTGTGTGTTGTGTACTTTAACCTAAAAGGACGTATGCCACATAGAAAACTAGATTGCTCTTAATTTTATTGCACTGTCAATTATTTTTATTTGTAACTGGCTGAAGGTGTGAATTGTAACAAATCATAATTTCATTGTAATTTGTCCAGAAAGGTTGTTTTTATTTATATCAGATTAGTTTTATCTTGTGTGATGGTGCAATGTAAATAAAACCTTTCCACCCTAAAAACCGAGATGTGTGTATTCTTAGCATCACTCAGCAAGTGGCTGACTAATCAGAATAAGGTGAAAGGAAAAACAGCTAATATTCGTCATCATAAGATGTTTATGTCTAAACAATAAAACCGTTGACACAATCAACATCCACAGCACCTCCTTTATTTTTTATTTTTTTAGATGAACCATCTGTTTAGTCAGTACAGGCTCCTGTGGGTTTTCTAATCTCAGCAACTCACTGGTGTTTTTGATGCGCAAAACCATTTAAAATGTTTATTTAAATAATGATTAAAAGTAGCCTAGTGAACTAGACCAAATTCTTTCTTTGCAAAGAATAATACATTTATTTAGTCTGGCTTGCCAGGCTAGATTAAAAGTGCTATTTCATTAAAGCAGCCTAAGACCCTGCCAAGAGCCGCAGAGTGGAATATTACCAATCACAGAACTCCGAGTCCTAATGGTAAAATATTTCTCACCACGTGACAAAATAAAGCGTTATTTCATCTAAAAGTTTGACTTTTATGATTGCAGCTCAATAAACTATTTTAAAAGACAACATTTAGGATAAAGTGCCACCGCGTTTAGCTTTTTTCACTGAAAAAACTTCCATCACTGCTTCAGATTATATAAAATCACCCCTGCAATAATCGTAGCATCCCTACGCCCATCTCCATCATACTGTCTAGTGTCTGGTTTGCTGCAGAAGCCTCTTTCCTCTTCAGCTTCTCTCTGTGGGCTCGCAGGTCTCTCTGCCTCTGCAGCTGCTCCCTGTAGTGAGACTCGTAGAACTTGTCGAAGTCGAACACGCCTCTCCGGGAGTGGATGCCCGACACGGACCGTCTGCTGTCGGGATGCGGAGTGGTTGAGCCCCCGGTGTCCTTGGTGGGGGGTCTTGATAGAGAAGTGAGGTCTGATGGACTCAAGAGACTCCGGTCGTACTTGTACCGGAGTCTCTTGTTCCCCAGGACCGTGTAGGCCTCGCATATCTCCGAGAAAAGGGTCGTGGCGTCACTGCTCCCGGCGTTCCTGTCCGGATGATACGTGAAGGACTGCTTGTAGTAAGCCGCTTTGATTTGGGTTTGAGTAGCGGTGGGTGACACCCCCAGGATATTAGTGATGTGTCGGTCGTGAACGAGCCGGCTCTAAGAGCCAGCTCTTTTAAGTGAACGACGGGAGCCGGCTCGTCATTGGGAGCCGTCCCCTCCCCCCCTCCCCTTTTGCTTTGGTGAAAGGCATGTGTAACTGCGTGTCCAAACTGTCCACACACAGAGCAGTAGGGGCGGGGAAGAGGGAGGATAAGACTAAGTCACACAGCAGAGCACATGTGGGCGGAGGGAGACGAGAGGGAATGAGGAGGAGGAAAAAGGCGAGCGAGAGAGAGGAGAGTGCGACGAAGACGGTGAGAAAATGAGCGCCAGCAGTCGGAAAGTGGAGATTTCTGAAAGTGTTCAGTTATTACATCCATAGAAATGATAAATATTTTATATTTAGCATTTTTTTTACATTAGTAAATCATTTTACATATAGTTTTGCATTATTTTGGTTATAAATGTGCACTACGCAACAGAAAATCTGAGGAGCCACTTGGGAGCCGAAAGAGCCGGCTCTTTTTGGTGAGCTGAGCCAAAAGAACCGGCTCTCTAAAAAGAGCCGGAATTCCCATCACTACAGGATATCATAGTAACTGGTTTTGGTTCTATAGAGTCTCGTATCTGGTTCCGTTCTCGCTGTAATTCCTGATAAAAACAACCGGACAACACTCGCGATACCAGGCGTGCTGATGAGAGTTGGATAAATGCCTCGAAAATGCACGACATCCCGGGTAAATGGGAACTTTCCTCTCTGGAAGCTGCGCCCGCTTCTTGCTTGCATCCAAAGGCGCATTAAGTCCTCATAACAAAAGTTTTCCGTCTTCTTGTTTTCCAAAGCGGCTGCGAGCAGCTGTTTTGAATCCGGGCAGAATCCAACTATCTTCCGGTTCGCATGACTTTCATCTCGACTCCATTCGTAGTTTTTAAAGTTATCGATTAAAACTCCCACCGATAGTGAGGAAACGTCCACTGCTCTTTTCCCGGGTTTATTTTGGCTTCTTTGGTGAAAGCGGTTCACTAGTTTAAAGAGCAAGTCACCCCCAAACCAACTTTTTTTTTCCTGATAAACTATATAAATGCGTGTCTAATCGTGCTGCAGATACGTGTAGTCAATAGTTTTGCACTTTAGTGCATTTTAGTTAAAATTGTAATTTTCTGCCTGAAACTGGCAGTGTTGTGCCGTTGTCAGGTAAAACCTCTTCACTGCATTTGAATTTAAATCTGCCACCGCTATTGGCTAAGAGGTATGCTATGATGTAAACTGGTACATTATGATGTCACAATGTTGTGAGTGTGTGTATGTGTTAGTGGCTCCACCCTCTCGGTCTGCTAGGCAACAGCATTTGTTGCATTTTTGAAACATGAAGTGGGAGTGAGGTACGCTTCTTGTAAGGGGTGACTTGCTCTTTAAGCGCAAAGCCGTGCGCTCTCCTTACAGCGCACGGCCTGACCCCTATCGCGTCAGACCCGTGCCACAACCCGTGAACGCGCATTGGGTCCACAGCGCGCGTGTGAACGGGACTCGTGAGCGAAAATATACATGGCAGCGCGCGCGTGAACGGGACTCGCGAGCGAAAATATACATGGCGAGAGGTCATTTGTGCACTGAGAGGGAGCAAACTGTGTCTGTGAGCGCACAAGGATGTGCACAAGTGACAAACCTGCGTGCGCGAGTTGCCAACGAGCACACGGCAGAGGAAAACGTGCGCGCGCGGCAGCCTCTCTGTGCGCTCGGTTTCTAATTCCGCTCACTCGGCTGTGAGGGCTTTTGGCACTCTGGAGGCGTGGCCTGTGGCAGATCTTCCCTGTCCTCTGATTGGTTAGTTTACCCCGCACTTTACTCTCTACCTATCTATATAAAAAAATCTGAGATTCAGCAGTTGCTGTCATAGCTCAGCTGGGAGAGCGGGTGACTCTCACTCTGGAGGATCCAGGTTTGAGTCCGGCCAAGGAACATAGAGTTGATGTCATTATTCTTTCCTAATTCCTGTGATATTATTTTACAGTTGTGACCGTTCAACTGTCATTAAACGTCCGAATGTTTGCTGGGCAGTGTTTTAAAAAGTGCACATAAGCTAGATGGTTTTAACCAGGTAAAAATAGACTTGTGGGTGTAGGTATGCTCAAGTTTAAAAAGTTCTTGCCTCATTAATGTATTGTTTATTTTTTTCAGCATTTAATTGACAAATTATCCTTTCAAATAATTAATTGATGAGTTACATAATTGTCCATTTAGAATTGTTGAATGGACTGAGTCAAGTTTGGTGCACTTTATATATTTCAAAACATGTTTTTTTATTTTAATTATGCATATAAATAATTTTAATGTTAATTTATTGAAATATTTCTATTTTTTCATTACCTCACCCTTGTTTTGACAAAAACAAGACCTTGCTGGATAATATCACGGAGAAACTATTTGTTCACATTACATGGCTCAGTGAGGATCTGTGTAAAGGAGGAGATACTCAGAAATCTGTCTGCAGATTGTTACAACCCAGACTGGAAGTGGTGGGCTGTAATAAGAAAGGAGACCAAACAGAGGAGTGGGGGTTCAACAACTGATTTATTTAACCAAAGTAAGGATTTACTAAAGCAAGTAAGTGAACAGAAAATGGCCAGTGAGGACTCTCCACCACACAGGAGAGACCCAGTGAAAGCAGAAAAACAGTAGGCTTCGTAGGCAGCACCACACCCTGAGCCCAGGTGCCTCCAAGGCTGCTTAACGAGCTGCCTACAACAGAAGAAAAACACAATTAAACACAAATGAAAACCCAATGAGACGGTGGGGGCATCACAACACGTTCAGGACTACCCAAACACCAGTAATTCTTGACTGCACTGATCTGAGGTGTCAATGGCCATATTCCCCTCTCTTCCAGAGTCATATATTTTCCTCAAGTTCAACTGCACTCTGAAGAGGCTCATTTGGATTGTGCCACATAGGCCAGTGACCTTTGTCTCAGCACTGTATGCTGGAACTATCAGCGACCAACCTGGGAATCTGGTGTGTTGAAAATGCTACAACTAGAGATGGTCATCATGGTAGACAGGGGTTTCTTCATTGATGACATTGTGCCCTGCAAAGTGTACAGGCCAGCTTTTCTTTCTGGCAAACCTCAAATGTCTGCATGTAAAGTTATAGAAACAGAAGCCATAACATCTCTGAGTGCATGTGGAGCGCTCCATTCATCTGGTCCAAGAACACTAGGTTTTTGATTGTTATTCCCCTCCTTGCATTTGTAAACAATCAGCTATATGCTGTGGTTTTTCTCCTTACCAACTTTTAAAATAGCCCACTAGTGAAGGCCTGGGCAAAGAAGCCTGATGTCTGAGAACCTCAACATATGTTAAATAAATCAGTTGTTGAACCCCCCCACTCCTCTGTTTGGTCTCCTTTCTTATTACAGCCCACCACTTCCAGTCTGGGTTGTAACAATCTGCAGACAGATTTCTGAGTATCTCCTCCTTTGGTATACAGATCCTCACTGAGCCATGTACTGTGAACAAATAGTTTCTCCGTGATATTATACAGCAAGGTCTTGTTTTTGTCAAAACAAGGGTGAGGTAATGAAAAAATAGAAATATTTCAATAAATTAACATTAAAATTATTTATATGCATAATTAAAATAAAAAAACATGTTTTGAAATATATAAAGTGCACCAAACTTGACTCAGTCCATTCAACAATTCTAAATGGACAATTATGTAACTCATCAATTAATTATTTGAAAGGATAATTTGTCAATTAAATGCTGAAAAAAAAATAAACAATACATTAATGAGGCAAGAACTTTTTAAACTTGAGCATACAGGTGCTGGCCAGTAAATTAGAATATCATCAAAAGGTTGAAAATATTTCAGTAATTCCATTCAAAACGTGAAACTTGTACATTATATTCATGCAATGCACACAGACCAATGTATTTCCAATGTTCATTACATTTAAATTTGATATTCATAAGTGACAACTAATGAAAACTCCAAATTTGGTATCTCAAAAAATTAGAATATTCTGAAAAGGCTGAATATAGAAGACACCTGCTGCCACTCTAATCAGCTGATTTACTCAAAACACCTGCAAAGGCCTTTAAAAGGTCCCTCAGTCTTGTTTTGAAGGCACCACAATCATGGGGAAGACTTCTGACTTAACAGCTGTCCAAAAGACAATCATTGACACCTTGCACAAGGAGGGCAAGACACAAAAGGTGATTGCTAAAGAAGCTGGCTGTTCGCAGAGCTCTGTGTCCAAGCACATTAACAGACAGGCGAAGGGACGGAAAAAATGTGGTAGAAAAAAGTGTACAAGCTCTAGGGATAACCGCACCCTGCAGAGAATTGTGACGACAAACCCATTCAAAAATGTGGGGGAGATCCACAAAGAGTGGACTGCAGCTGGAGTCAGCGCTTCAAGAACCACCACGAGGAGACTCATGAAAGACATGGGATTCAGGTGTCGCATTCCGTGTGTCAAGCCACTCTTGAACAAGAAACAGCGCAAGAAGCGTCTCGCCTGGGCCAAGGACAAAAAGGACTGGACTGATGCTGAGTGGTCCAAAGTTATGTTTTCTGATGAAAGCAAGTTCTGCATTTCCTTTGGAAATCAAGGACCCAGAGTCTGGAGGAAGAGCGGAGAAGCACAGAATCCACGTTGCATGAGGTCCAGTGTAAAGTTTCCACCGTCAGTGATGGTGTGGGGTGCCATGTCATCTGCCGGTGTTGGCCCACTCTGTTTCCTGAGGTCCAGGGTCAATGCAGCCGTCTACCAGGAAGTTTTAGAGCACTTCATGCTTCCTGCTGCTGACCAACTTTATGGGGATGCAGACTTCACCTTTCAACAGGACTTGGCACCTGCACACAGTGCCAAAACCACCAGCACCTGGTTCAAGGACCATGGTATCCCTGTCCTTGATTGGCCAGCAAACTCGCCTGACCTTAACCCCATAGAAAATCTATGGGGTATTGTGAAGCGGAGGATGCAATACGCTAGACCCAACAATGCAGAGGAGCTGAAGACGACTATCAGAGCAACCTGGGCTCTCATAACACCTGAGCAGTGCCACAGACTGATCGAGTCCATGCCACGCCGCGTTACTGCAGTTATTGAGGCAAAAGGAGCCCCGACTAAGTATTGAGTGCTATACATGCACATTCTTTTCATGTTCATTCTTTTCAGTTGGCCAACATTAGAGAAACAAACATTTTTTCATTGGCCTTTAGAATATTCTAATTTTCTGAGAAACCAGATTTGATGATTTCATTGGTTGTCACCTATAAATATCAAATTTAAATGTAATGAACATTGGAAATACATTGGTCTGTGTGCATTGCATGAATATAATGTACAAGTTTCACGTTTTGAATGGAATTACTGAAATATTTTCAACCTTTTGATGATATTCTAATTTACTGGCCAGCACCTGTACCTACACCCACAAGTCTATTTTTACCTGGTTAAAACCATCTAGCTTATATGCACTTTTTAAAACACTGCCCAGTAAACATTCGGACGTTTAATGACAGTTGAACGGTCACAACTGTAAAATAATATCACAGGAATTAGGAAAGAATAATGACATCAACTCTATGTTCCTTGGCCGGACTCGAACCTGGATCCTCCAGAGTGAGAGTCACCCGCTCTCCCAGCTGAGCTATGACAGCAACTGCTGAATCTCAGGTTTTTTTATATAGATAGGTAGAGAGTAAAGTGCGGGGTAAACTAACCAATCAGAGGACAGGGAAGATCTGCCACAGGCCACGCCTCCAGAGTGCCAAAAGCCCTCACAGCCGAGTGAGCGGAATTAGAAACCGAGCGCACAGAGGCTGCCGAGCGCGCAGAGAGGCTGCCGCGCGCGCACGTTTTCCTCTGCCGTGTGCTCGTTGGCAACGCGCGCACGCAGGTTTGTCACTTGTGCACATCCTTGTGCGCTCACAGACACAGTTTGCTCCCTCTCAGTGCACAAATGACCTCTCGCCATGTATATTTTCGCTCCCGAGTCCCGTTCACACGCGCGCTGTGGACCCAATGCGCTTGCACGGGTTGTGGCACGGGTCTGACGCGATAGACCCCCGCCATATTTCTGGAGGTAACAAGAAGGTGTCTCGCCTACAGCGCCCCTGGTGGTCTGACACAGGAAGTACACATGGTTTATGGATTTGGTTCAAGAAAACAATATCGCTACACAATTATTATATGTATTAAAACAAGGAGCTCTCTAAAATGTATGTACATACATTTCACATTGAATATGCGTTATATATTTTACTATGTGAATAATATAGAAAAACTGTTTTAACAGCTGAACATTGAAACACACTTCAAAAAGTTAAATTAAATTGTTATAATTGAAGACATTTTATATCAATGTATAAACATAGACCTACTTTGTAATTGGCCCTCTAAAAAAACCTGTAATAATACATCTATTTTATAGGATTAAACTCTTTAAACAATCTAGATTTAAAGTTTGTGCCTTGGTCTGTTTGTAAAACCTTTGGAAGACCATATACAGAGAAGTAGCCAGTTAGGGCTTTTGTAATAGACCTAGTGGTTATGGATGACAAAGGGATGGCTTCTGGAAATCTGGTAGACGAACAAATGATTGTTAGAAGAAACCTTTTTCCAGATTTGGAAACAGGAAGGGGTCCCACACAATCCACCCACAATATGCTCAAAAGGAGTGGTTACTACAGGTAACGGATGCAAAGGTACAGGATGTATTTTCTGGTTAGGTTTTGCAACCATCTGACATACAGTCAGGTCCATAAATATAGGGACACTGACACATCGGCAGCAAACCGAGAATAAAAGTAGTGAAGAGTTATTTAAGAGACAAGCAGCAAAGAATATATTTGTCAAAAAGAAGACACACATTATGAGGGTTAGGAAATTTTTCACCACAAAGTTCAACAGCATTAAACGTTGCTGCACAAGCGCCCTACGGGAAAGGACCCCATACCTAAAAGCTCCAAAAAGGGAAATCGGTGAGTTAGCCAAAAAGACAGATTTAACTCACACAGACAGCTCTTTGTTACAAAACCTAGATGGAAGTCAGTTGTGGTAGGAAGGGTAACATAATAACTGGAGTGAAGGGGGTGAGTTTAAATAAAAATGTATTTTATTAGCAAAAGTAGTAAACACAAATACTCAGTCCTTGACAGAAATGATAACGAAACTATTTCCTCTCTTTAAACGAAGGTGACGGGGAAGAAATCAAAACACCTGAGGCAAAGGCCTCAGGGAAGAAACGACAAAGATACTTTATCTGTAATTAACGAAAAATGTCGGAGCTAAATAAAATCAGAGGAAAAATAACAAATCTCAATGGCTAAATTTAATACCATTTACAAAAGAAAAACCGAGCTCTAAAGCGGAAACGGAATGGAAATTCAAGCTTTTAGAGCGGACCAGAAATGTTTACAAAAATGATCATGAAACAAAAACAGTTCTAGAACAAAAGGATGTAACCAAAAGAACTACTTATCTTTAATAATCGAATTACTAAAGTTCTAAATCCAACACGAAACCGCTTATCAAAGCTCCAAGGACCGAGGAGAGAAGGACAGGGTGTGAAGCTGTGGTTCTCTCCCTGAGAACTGACAGCTGCCATCTTTTAAGCCATCAGCTCTCATCAGCTGATGGCTTGCCGCTGGGGTGGTGAAGGCAGGCAGAGGGGGAAAAGCCAGCCTGACTGAGGACCTGTCCAAGGTCCTGAACACAAAAGGGAGCTGAGCTGGGCCTTTCAGGGAGCGGGAGTCCAGCATCTGTAACAGGCCCCTCCTTAAGAAAAAAAAGAAGAAAACAGACAAAACTGATTTAATTCTTTTTGTTTTTTTTTTTCATAACACAAAATAAGGGAATCCATACACCAGAAGAGAGAGCCCGCTAACTGCCTAGGGGAAGCTAGCTAGCTCATCCCTAGTCTTCATGCAGAATTTTTGAAGGGGCCATATTAAACCAAAACCTGTAAAATGGAAAGGTGGCCCATTGACAAACCCATCTCTCCAAATCCAGGGGCGTTCCCGAGATGGGTGTTTTACCACCCAACACAACCCTCATCACCACAGCACTAATCAAAAAACAGGCGCTCCCTAAAGAGGGGGAGTCTCTGCCTACCAGGGAGGCACTCAAGGATTCCAATGTTTTAGCAACCACGAGAAAGTCCATCAGCAAGGATGATATCAGAACCGCTCTTATGGCGGATTTCAATAGGGAATTCCTGGAGAAGCAGGGCCCATCTCACAAGTCTCTGGTTTTGATTGTACATGCAATGTAGGAATACTAAAAGGTAATGTCGGTGTAGATGATGGTGGGAGAGGAACAAGAGCCAACATAAACATGAAAATGTTGCAAGGACAAAATGAGGGCTAGAGTCTCCTTCTCGATCGTGGAGTAGTTCGCTTGGTATTTATTGATCTTCCTGGAGAAGTACCCCATGGGATGGTCTATCCCACCTTGGTTCTGACCAGCTCAGTGGCCTAGTGGTAGAGTGTCCGCCCAGAGACTGGGAGATCAGGGTTCAATTCCTGGCCGGGTCATACCAAAGACTTTGAAAAAAATGGGGCCCAATGCCTGCCTGCTTGACACTCAGCAATAAGGGGTTGGATTGTGGGGGTTAAACCACCAAATGGTTCCCGAGCGTGGCTGTGTCTGCAGCTCACCGCTCCCCCAGGGGATGGGTCAAATGTGGAGAACAAATTTCGCACACACATCAGTGTGTGTGACAACCAATGGGACTTTAACTTTAACTCTTGCATGAGAACAACACCAGCCCCCACAGCACTAGCATCAACCTCATCTCGTCTCGTCTTCCACCGCTTATCCGGGTCCTGGTCCGGGTTGCGGAGGCAGCATCCCAACTAGGGAGCTCCAGACCATCCTCTCCCCAGCCACCTCCACCAGCTCCTCCGGCAGGACCCCAAAGCATTCCCGGACCAGATTGGAGATGTAACCTCTCCAACATGTCCTGGGTCGACCCGGGGGCCTCCTGCCTTCAGGACATGCCCAAAACACCTCCCCAGGGAGGCATCCTGACCAGATGCCCAAACCACCTCAAAAGACTCCTTTCGATCCGGAGGAGCAGCGGTTCTACTCCGAGTCCCTCCCGAATGTCCGAGCACCTCACCCTATCTCTAAGGCTGAGCCCGGCCGCCCTACGGAGGAAACTCATTTCGGCCTCTTGTATCTGCGATCTCGTTCTTTCGGTCATTACCCAAAGCTCATGACCATAGGTGAGGATTGGACGTAGATCGACCGGTAAATCGAGAACCTGGCTTTCTGGCTCAGCTCCCTCTCCACCACGACGGATCAGCTCAGCATCCGCATCACTGCAGACGCACGGTCAGATCAAGTCCTGGTGTGTGTCATTTAATCCAATTAGGTTTTTGGGTAAGCGTCCAATAGGGATTTTGGTCCAGTTTTGAGGGTAATGTTTGTTGTGATTTTTCTTCCTTATTAACTCTCTTTGTTTATAGTTTGTGGGTTTATGAGTGGATTGTTACCATAAGATTCCTCCCTTAGAAAAACCACTGATTCATTCCTTTAAATACATTTATCGGACTACTGCCTGTTAATCAAAAGGACCCTAGCTGGTGTTGGTCCCTACCCGCCGAGCTGCTGGGATAATCGAAACATCGGTCTCCCGAGAGCTCCACAAGCCGATAGTTGGAACCCAGCTCCACCAACATGTTATATTTCAACCCATTTTCTAAAGTGCAGCATTGTGTTAAATGCACTGGGTTTTACCCTATTACATTTAAATTTCATGGTTAAACAGTACATGTTAAAATCTATGCTCAGCTCGGCAGTGACCTAAAATGCATAAATATAATTTTACTTACCAAAAAAATGAAGTGGAGACTCCTTGGACGCTCTATTAGTGCAATTAATGCCACAGCAAGTCATTTTGTCCAACAATTGCACAAAAAATATCCAAAAAAGAATACACAAACACAGAGACTCAAAATCCCGGAACAGTTTCCAAGCCAGACCGAGGCTCCACTGAGGCCTTTCCACGGAGCTAGCTCTGTGGTCACGTGGGTCTGATGCTCATTAATTACACAGAATTTTAGGCTTTTAATACACAAACAGAAGAGTGAGAAGAAAATTCACCCCCCTCAGAGTTGTCATGAGTGTAAACTAGATCATTTAAACAAAAAACATGTTCTGGTACCAGGCTGTAAACATGTTTATTTCTGCTGTGAAATTGGTATTTTAACATGGGAGTCAATGAGGATTTGCTCGCTTCTGACACCAGCCCCCAGCGGATGAGAGTGGAACTGCAATTTACGGTACTTCCGGGTCTGATTCGATTTAGGAGCCGCATTGTGGGGGCTTGGGTTTTTGGGATTTTGGGGGCCATGGCGACGGGGGATTTGGGTGGGGGGGAGGGATTCGGATCTACGATGTATTTTTGTTTGTTACCCACGGTTATTGTTTCACCCCCTTTTGGGGAAGACCACAGAAACCATTCTTTTAAAGCTTTAAGAGGTCCTCTGGGCAGGGGCGGATTTAGCAATTTGGGGGCCCAAGGCGAACACACATGGGGCCCCTTACACTAAATTTTCGACAATCTTACCTTTAACTGGATTTGCGAAACTCTCCCCTTTTCTGACACGAGTTATTTTCACTTTTTATTAGTCCTCCTCTTTTTTCCTGTTTTTCTCTCCCTTTGAGCGCTTTTAATATTTGCTCTGCTTTCTTCTTCCTGTCAGCGCTCCTGTGCTTTAGCCTTAGTTGTTTTTTTTTCTATTTTCCATTTTGGTCTATGTTTTCCTCCCTTGAAACATTTTCCATTGTCTTTCCTTTCTGCTTCCTTTTGATGTTTACATCGAAAAACGACGTCACTTTCAGAAGTGAAAATAAAAGCTTTTATTAAGCATGCTGCTTCTTTCTCTTATTGGAGCCACTAGGATAATTCCATTTCATGCTAAATGTTTTGACTATCGCTTTGGGTTTGTTACGAATGCCACTGCCTCTCTTCTTATTATTTGTGGTCTTATGGCGCTTGGCAAACAACAATTTGGTGCATTACAGCCACCAACTGGATTGGAGTGGAATGACTACCAATCACTTCCTGTTTGTGCATCGCCGTCTTAATAACCCTCTTATGACCATAATTATAACAGGGCCGCCTGGTATGTTTTTAATCTTATGGCTGTAAAATTGTAATAAAAAGTGCAAAGTGTGTGTAACTCTTCTTTTTTCAGAACAACCTCAGCTTTTAGTGTATGGTTTGTATTTAGAATTTATTTCTATTAAAGCCTTTAAAAATCAGCTTAAAAGTGAAAAAAGCAAAAAACGCATTAGAATTTTTTACATGTATTACTGAACAGGAACTTCAAAATTACTGGGCAAACAATTTAAACTTTGAACTGTAATGCATCTATTCTTAAAATGTTTGAACCTTGGTATCTTTTTTAGTTTTTTTTAAGACCATTTATTTTTGTAAACTTTCAGATGTTTTTATTTGATGTGGTAGACCTTGAAGCAGTTTCTCTCCAGCTGCAGGCAGAGTCCCACTCTGCACACCTCACACTGCCATGGGGTGCTTCTCTGGCACACCGTGCACTGCTATACCAAAATCTTTAGTTTTAGCAAAAATAATTATTTATGGTAAACAGATAAATAATGCTGGAATGAAGCTGAATCTTACAATTAGCAAATAGTTGAGGGTTGTTCAAACAAAAAAATTAAAGACTGAACAAACATTCATACCCTGGTTCACCGGAGATCTGTCCTTCTTCGTGGTCACTGTCTTCAGATATAAGCCTTCTGGGACACCTAATAGATCGTGTTGATTTTCTTTGAGGCATTTCCATAATTTCATGCTGGTTTTTATGCTAATTAGCTTCCCCGTTCCGTTATCCGCTTTCACCACGGCGCTGCACTCCGTTTCAATCAGGCTGTACAGCAGGATTTCCCCTCGTAGCGATATTTTCCCTAACTCTGATTGCTTCATGCTGTAGATTGTTGGAAAGCTGCTTTTATGTACTTTTAGGGACCGTTGGAAGATTTGAATCTGATCAGCCATTCAAAAGTTATAAAACGGAGCATTTTGGATGACAAACTCAGCACGTCTCTGAATCTGTGTTGTGATTCGTTGCGCTCAAGACGGAATGCCGGTGGCTATCGTAATGTATTGTATATGCACGAAAAGCCCCATTTTTAATCTTTTCAGCACTTTTGGAATTTTAATGATATCTTGAATGGTTCAGGAATTATGGTAATGAGAAGTGCGCATGTCCAATCCCGTCTGCAGCCACAGGTTGGTAATAAGAATATTGTGGCATTAACAGAGGGGTGCCAGCGGTCAGGGCTAGGGGGCCCCCCAACACAAGGGGGCCCCAGGCGGCCGCTATGCCTAATGGTAAAACCACCTCTGCCTCTGGGTGTATGGCCTAAGACCAGTTGCAAGGGACTGAACCCCAGGGACTCCTGGACAGCATCACGGGCTGCAAAAAGAACAAGGGGCTCTCCCTCATCCCAAGAGTGATCAGTAGACAGACAGGCATTCTTTAGCATAGACTTTAAAGTCTGGTGCCAACGTTCTATAACTCCTTGACTTTCAGGATGATAGGCCGAGGACGTGGCATGTCTAATGCCTAGAGTCTCTGAAACTTGTTTAAAAAGACAATTTAAAGTGGCTATTTTAAAATAAAATGTTGAAAAAGTTTTTAAAAAGTGGAATGTCGCATGTGATTATTATTTACTGGTTGAATAAAATTGTACATGAGGTTGAATTTAAGACTCAGTAATGTTTAAG